GCAGATAAATCAGAAGAACGTAGTTGAGAATTAGGGATTTTAGTTTATGTTGTAAGTATGTGAGTATATGTGTACATACTATTGGTATTTGTCTTAAAATGAATAAAATGACTTTTAAAAAAATGATATTTGTACTGATTTAATACCTAGAAAGCTTAAACAGCTGAGTTCATCAGGCATTTTTTTATTTATTTATGGAAACAAGATGTTCATTTGAATTTGAATTTATTTATTTGAATGGGACAATGCATATTAATGAACATACAAGACGTAAGAATTAGCAACGCTAGTTTCCATCTGTAGTCCTATGTACATAAGGCACAGACATTACAATTTAAAACAAGGTAAAAAATAAAAACATACAAAGATTTAAAAACAAAGATAGCTACAATATCTGAATATCTCCTTATTTTCTCCATACCTGCAAAGAATCAAATTCAGACATGAGGCAAATCATTAGATTACAAGGATAAAACGACAAGAAGAACACGTATCTATAAAACCAGATGATTAATGTTTGCATTGATGAATTCCCAGTAGCCATGTTTTCAACTGACTTTTAAAAGTATGGAGGGAAGGACTGTCTCTTATATTAAACGGTAACTTATTCCACTCACTGCATCCCTTAATCGATAAAGTATTCTGTGCAAATGTAGTTTTCCTACATTTAACCTGGCAGTCCCCCCGTGAGGTCGATCGGGTATTGCTGGTACTTTTTTGCCTTTTAAAGTATTCCAGTAGGGGTGCCGGTGTGTTGACTGTCAGCGATTTGTAAATGAGACAGAAGATTTATAAAGTCATAAAATCATTAAAGGTTAAGAAGTAACGTTTTTCTAAAATCTTGCAAATGTGATAGGATGGTGGTTTTTGGTCTAAAGTCTTTGTTGCTTTTTTATATATTTGTTTAATTGGTTTTCGTGCAGAGTCACTGGTAAATGACCATGTTGTGGAACAATATTCAATGTGGGATCAAATCATACAGTTAAGATACAGTTTAGCTGCCCCCTCTGACATCAAATGTCTTATTTCTTTAAAATTACGCAGATTACAATTTAGAGGTTTAATCACTTGTTTGATATGTTTTTTGAATGTAAGGTTGCAGTCCAAGGTGACTCCCAGATATGTATAATTTGTGACCAACTCAAATTCCTCACCTTCCAGAAACACTGAAGACCCAGATCATGCTTTTCTTTTCTTAACCAGAGCAGATTTGACAGGTTTTTAGGTAAACACCAAGCACACTGTTTTTTTTTTGTGTTCAGGTACAAAGTGTTCCTTTAGCCAGGTTTGGATTTTGGGCATGGCGTTTGTAAAGTATTTCTGCAACAATTTTCTTGTCCTTACCCTGAACAAAGATCACAGCATCATCAGCGTACATAGCTGTGTTAAGTTCAGGGCATATGGTCGGTAAGTTATTTATGTAAATAGAAAATAGTATTGGTCCCAAAATGTATCCTTGTGGAACTCCGACCTTACAAGTAACAGAGGCAGATCTGACACCGTTCATAGCTAAACATGGTGTTCTGTTGTTGAGATATAATCTCAACCACTGAATGCAATCACTTGAGAAGTTGAAATAAGTGAGTTTGTTCAATAAAATGTCATGGTTTACAGTGTCAAAGGCCTTCTTTAAATCCAAAAATACGGCTCCCACACATGGATTTGTATCTAATAGACCTTTGACCTGCTCTATGAATAAACAAAGAGCTGTTTCAGTGGAGTGTCTAGCCCTAAACCCAAACTGGCATTGGTCCAACGGAAATTGACCCTCATCTAGATGGCTAGTTAACTGAACAGCAATCCATTTTTCTACAGTTTTGGACATGATGGGTAGAATACTTATAGGTCGATAATTAGCCAAGTCAGTCTTTAGCCCGTTCTTAAATACTGGTGTAACAGTTGCCTCCATCCAAGAGGAGGGAACTCTAGACTGGCTGATAGATTGGTCAACCATTAATGCAATTGGTGGGACTAATGGTTCAGTGTGTGTCTTAAGAAAATGAGAGTCAATTTCCAGACAATGTACATAGTGAATATTGGTTTGTCATTAAGCAAAAACAAGGGATTGCATTTGGTGTTGGAGGTACCTTAAAGATACTTTCAATTTCAGAAAGTCCTTCAAGAGAACACCCTGTAGAAAGTGGCTGTGTTGTGTTCTCGGCGTGTTCTGGCTGACCGAGCGTGACCACATCCATCAGGTCATCCATTCATCAAGCTTTCTGTAAAAATCCGAAATGAAAAAGCAACTTAACCTTCAACTGATCTTCAAAAAGGAAGGTTATCCCGTTTTAATCCTACAGGTCAAAGCGGAGACATGCGTGCATTTCACAGTGAATACATAGTAACCAGTAACAGAGTCAGATATATTTAGCTAAAACAAATATGGTGGTGAAAAATATTTAGGTCTGCTGCTCTGGAGTTGGACTAGCACCTGCAGGCAACTCAGCCCTCATCGAGTTAGTCTGAAACAGAAAGAAATACTGCAGCAGGACAAGGTTTCATAACTCATGTAAGCTTGTTAGACTGAGAAAATGTTGTGACCACACATTTTATTGTGTCTGACACAGGAGGAGAAAAAGCCGAGGCTTGTTTAGTTTTTAGTTTTTTAACAATTTCTATTATTTCTAATACCACTAAGCCTTGAATGTGGAGACAAGATGCTGGCCAAACTGAGTACAAATGGGCACAATGGTTGATCTTTATAACCATTGACCTAGACAAGTTGTCTTTTTGTTAAACTGTAATATTTGTCATGCAGGCTTTGTGGCTGTTCTTAGACAGTCATTTCTCTATAAAAGTATCCCTAAAATGTTGACATACTAATGTTTACAAAGTATTTACTATTCCTTCTGGGTGAATTCCAGCCCGTCCTATAGGTCCTTATGGTAACCAACTCAGTGTGTTTGTTTACACGAACTTTGTATTATTTAATGTTTTTTTTATGTTCTATGCCATTTTTTCACAATGAGATGGTGGACTGACATCCGTAGCGGTCCAATCACAGCTCTCTGTTGGTTTGGTTGGCCAGTTGCAGCACTCTGCTGGTGGGCGGGATGTTACTGATGCAAAGATGGCGACAGCTCGTTTGAACTGGCGTAATCAACTTTGGACTATTTGACTTGGGTTTGTCTTTGACTCAAGAGCAGATAGAGCTGTGCGTGTGTGTGTGTGTGTGTGTGTGTGTGTGTGTGTGTGTGTGTGTGTGTGTGTGTGTGTGTGTGTGTGTGTGTGTGTGTGTGTGTGTGTGTGTGTGTGTGTGGAAGGTACTGAAAATATCAAGCAACTCAGCTTCAAATTAACCAAACTTCACATCTGTAAAACAAAGTTGTAGCCAAATCTGTGCAACAAAATAACAGACAGGCAATAACATTATCACCCAAAAAGGAGTGCGATAAAAATGAAAGAAATTAGGCAATGAAACACACACACACACACACACACACACACACACACACACACACACACACACACACAAACATATCCCAGCATATATTGGTCAGATGTCCACGGCCGTGACCATAATAATTTTATTATGAAACATCCAAAAGACACGCGCTGAAAGACATTTATGTCACGGCCAGAAAAGACGTCAGTTCAACTTTCATTTTGGAATTATTTTTCAACCATGGCGGAACGTCTCGGTTTGACGTTTCAGCGGCCATTAAACATTTGAATGTTTGCTGGGGTGGCTCTGTTCTATTTTTTGACATAACAAATGGGGACTTTTTAAAATGTGTTGTTTTAGGCATAATTCCAATCCAATCACTGACAGAAAATGGATAGATGGACTTTTTCACGTTTTTAGTGTTTATTTTGGCGGTAGAGACCTATGTGGTAGCACAAAAGGTGGGTTTTGCATTATATATCCTCTTAAACTTGGTGAGCCTTACACACACCCTCATGAAATTCCAAGCCTTCAGTTCTTTAAAGTTCTCACTGAAAACTAGTAATGTGCTTTAAGAGAAACTTTATGAGAGAAAAAAAAACATTAGACAGAGTGAAGGCTTTGCCAAATCCATGATTCAGCAAAGATGAGGGTGGCATGACTTCACTGTGGGTGGTTATCTAATCAGTAACGTGTAATGAATGACAGGATGAAGGCTGCAGCACCAGTTAGAGCATTCATGAGCTGGCAAGTGTTTTTGCCAGCATTACTATGTGTGTAGTAAATGAGTGGGTGTGTGAAGACGATGAAGTCTGGCCAGCAAAGTCATCCTCTGACTGAACCCCAACACTGTCCAAACCAGGGGCGGCGTTAGGCCCGGCTACTTGGGCTGAAGCCCCGGATCTTTCATGGAAAGCCCCGGATCTAAATCGCAGAAGTAACATGCAGTACCAAAGTCCAACAGAGAGGGCGCAGCTGGCAGTAGTTTGTATACAGCCTGCCTGAGCCTCCACCACTGAAGAAGAAGCCCTTCAGCAGCCGGCTTCTTCTACACTCTCTGCCTGAAACGCATGAGTGAAGATGGACATAAGGACGTTTTTTAGACCAAAAGTACGGCGACAGAACCCCAGCTTTGATGAGACTGGTGCTGACTCAGGTTTGTGAGTCTTATTAGAAAATATTTGTTGTGCTGCTGGTTTGCCTAAAGTTAGCTTACTATCAGGTAAAGTTGTTGGAGAAAGAAAGGGAATATTTACTATCATCTCACACTAAACACTAACAGGAACAATACTCTGCCCTGAATATGCTTCATATGTAGCTTCAGATTAAAAATTATGTGGTACAAGTCATATATATATATGATGTTGACTAGTGCGTGTCACGTGTGTGCGTGCGTGTGCGCGTGTGTTAAGCCCCGGATCTTCTTCAGTCCTAAATCCTCCCCTGGTCCAAACTGAGACATGTCCTCAGGTTTGACCACGTGCTCCCCACTCCCTCCCCATCTCTCCTCCTCCTTTATTAAATATTTCACTTTCTAAATCTACCTCTCGGTTCCTCGCATCTCCTCCTCACTTCTTTCCCTCCACCCTTGAAACATGGAAATCAGGGCAGTTCAGCAACGGAGGGGTTAAGACAAACTCAGGCTTGTGATTGGCTGCCGGCCGGCGGTCTGATCCAGCCTACAGAAAGAGGTAACCAGGCAACCTCAGAGAGGGAGAGGAAAGAAGAGGGGGCAGAGGACCGGGGAGTAAAAAAAGAAAAGAAAAGAAAAAAGAAGAAGCGCTGGCTTACTTTTGTGAGAATTGTGGAAAAAGATGTAACAAAGCTGGGAAGTGCTCTCCCCGGAATGGAAGACTGGATTAGAGTCCCTGCTGAAGCACGCTGTGGATGTCTCAGGAAACCAGGAGCAGACTCAGGGATGACTGGATTCTAAAAGCCTCGCTTGGAAATGGGAACTAACTGTGCTCACTTTCGCTGTAGTGCAAAGGTAAGTGCGCTGTAGTCTGAAGTGATGCGGAAAAACTGGAGGAATTCTGCGCAGACCGTGCGCAAAGTGTGCACTTTCTTTTTATGAATGTGTGCGTGTTATTTGGTGTTTGGAGAAGTCTGTGGATTTGCTGTGTTCGGCTTCTTACTGCAATAAAATTTCTATTGCTGCTGCTGGTGCTGGTGCATCGGGGGTTTAGTGCGCGCGCGGATGCTCGTGTGTTTGGCGGTTGTGGAGGAGTGACCCCCTCTGTCAGACAGAGTGGTCAGGGGGTGCTTGTGTGTTCCTTGGCGGGAGGAGAAGAAAAAGAAGGAAGCTTTGCTGCATTTGGCGTCTGCATCTCTGGACCACTGTTCCTAAGCGCAGATCTTTAAGAGGAGCAGCTCGTCCGTGACTCAACCTAATTATTGTTCACGCTGTATTCTCCCCATCCTGTGCAACTTGAGCCCATCTTAACGTTAATGACACGTCACAGCGTAAAAAACTTCCTTTACGCACGGAGGGTTGCTCTGATTCATGCGTTTGGGTGAAACTGGCTGACACGCAGAACTGTCGAGGCTACGCTGATGAAGTTTTAGTATTGAAATGTGTCCGTGACATGTGCGATCTGCCTCTCAGCTACACGACTTCTGGATGATGGAGAGAGGGAAGAAGCGACGGAGGGAGCGCAGTCCGGTGGTTTTCCCCTCTGAGGGGCCCGCTCTGCTGCAGCTAAAAGCCGCATTAATCATGGCTGTGGCTCTGCAGACCCTCACCCTCCTCTGCTCCTGCCTGCATCAGACGCAGATACAGCAGCAGGTGCACAACTCTGGGTTTGTCCTGTATCTGAGCGGTGCAGATATGTTCTTATAATTAAAATCAACAAGTTGCTTCAAAGGAGCATGCATATATTTTTTCCTGCTATCAATTTAAACAATTTTATAGTTCTCGACTATTTAATTGTATTTAGTTGACATTTATTATGAGTTCACTTTAAAAGAGAAACTCCGTTGATGTTATTTATTTATTCCTTTATTTTGGTGCTGCTTCATCCAAAGAACATTTGGCTACTTTTTTCCACTTGAGCCAAACTTCTCTTTCTTTCGCCTGTTTGGGCCCAGCTGGCGGCTCCAGGTTGTCATAGAAACCCACGGAGCATTGTAACTCTCAAAGAAGGTTCTTTTTTCCTCCTCATTCTGTTACGTCTTCCTCCCCTTTTCCCCTTTTCCTGCTCTGCGCCATTGTTCTCAACCCAGCCCACCTTTCACAACTTATGTTCTTACAGGCTGCATGTGTGCTGACTGATGACAGACAATGCCTCTGAATGGATGCTAGGTTTAGTCCTGCACAGAAAGCACATGTTTGATTTATCTTCACCTCGAGACAGCTTTGGAAGCAGGGTTGTACCTTTCCGGCTCCTGAAACCTTTCATGGTCTTTTACATTAAAAGGGGGGGTTCTCTTTGTGAGTTTGTGTTCCAGTTAGAGAAAAACCCCATTCCGACTCTCCGCTGATACCTTGTACTTATTCAGGTCTTTGCACACCCTCATGACTACCCTGAATGGGGATGAGGTCCTTTGTGTCACACCTGTTTGAGTAAGTTTCATCAAAACCAAAGAAATCCAGTAAACATTCAAAAACGCCATTTTTTATCAGAAGAAAAGTTCATAAAATACAAAATAACTCTAACTCTTCTTCTAAGACACTCAAATAATTGTTGCAGCGTATGTCGCTGCCTGTTTTGTTGAGGCAACATATTGGCACGTGTTGCTATGGATACAGTTCAATATGAAAATAAATTGACGGCCCATTCAAGTTACCTGCTCAACGAGGCGGCAGCTGGGTCTCAGTGGCATTTCTTTAAATAAGTGTTGGTGAAAACAATGAGCAGGCAGCTGCAGTGGAAAGCAGCACAACTACAGTCCCCGCAGGAAAGGATGATCTCACTTTTAATAATGACACATCTGAGATCTTTGTACCTTTACTTATGTCTTCTCCAATAGATGTTTTTATTTTTATTACTCTGAGTTTGGTGCAGCATGAGGTGCTTATCGTTTGACTATGTTGTGAAACTGGTAGAGACGTAGATTATATGTCAGCATGAAAGTTGTGCTGGTTCCAGCATGTGCCTGACTTTCTCTACAGTGCCTTTACTCTGAACCGTAACAAATATTAAGCATTTCAGAGGAAAATTCCTTTGTGTCCCGTGTCGAGACCTTTGCCTTTCCATCCATCACAGTACAGTCCACGGCTCTGCAGGTGTCTGAGTGTAGCTCCAACTCATGACGGAACAGTGAATTTTTCTCAGTATGAGTCCAAGCTGCAGCAAAAAGACTTCACACAAACCCTTTCATGTCTTTCTTAAATGAACAATGATGACAAATGTTGAATTTGTACTTCTTTGGAACAGTAATCCAAAGAAAGGACATGAAAAATTTACATTTTACGTACCTTTCTGCTGTATTCTTTTTCTAAGATTGTGCTGTTGCACAAAGAGGCAGAAGTGGAGTTGAGAGGTTATTGGCTGGAAGCCCATAACATTGATTTACTTAGTGTGTGTGTGTGTGTGTGTGTGTGTGTGTGTGTCCATGTCTGACATTTTTCTTAGATATAGCTGGCACAAGGAGTATTTTAACAAAGCTTTGGCCCACGTGTGCGTTGTATGCCTTACTTACTTGTTTATTTTAGAGAATTCAAAATCTGGTAAAAACAATATGTACACAGATTCAGACTCTTCTAACGTTTAAAACACAAGGATTTTGCTCAATATTGAAATCTCATATTTTGTAACATCAATACTAATTTATTGGCTAAGAAAATGTTTTCTCTTTAACCAAAATAAATGGTGCAGCTTGTCTATATTTGAGATAAGATAAGATAATCCTTTATTAGTAAGTGGGAAATTTGCATTGTCATAGCAGAAAGTGGACAATTGAATAAAAAAATAGTACCAACAAGCATACCAATGTGCAAGTATTGTCCAAGCACTAGATTGGTAGCATAGTGAGCACAGCACATAATAGGGCTGGGCGATATATCGATATTTTTTAAATATCGAAATAATTTTTAAACAAGGTGCAAGATGACTACGATTTTATATCTTTATATCGATATAACTGGTCAAACTGCTATGCTAGCGATTAGCCGCTATGCTAGCGTCATGTTGCTCCGTCTCTAAGCGGTCATTAAATGTATTCTCACAAGTTTGCTCAATCTGAGAGCCTCTGGGTAAATGTGCTGCTCTAAACGTTGCATTTGGCATCCTGGTTTTTAATTATTTGGGGGCGTTCAAAGGCAACGGAGTTCTGTTTATCCATCCTGAATGTGCGGAGGGACAAGCCAAACCCCTCCCTCCCCTGTGTAATGAGGAAACATCTATGGATAGCTGGAGTAGCCAAATCACCTCAAACATACTGTAAGGGTTTGAATAATTAAATAATTTTACATTAATTATGAATATATAATTAAAAAGTGCCTGTGGGACATGTGATACACCTCTAGCTCTAAACTGTGTGTTAGCAGACAGATGTACTGTACCAGTGTTTCTAAAGCTCTGACTGGTAGAGAATAGGCACTAAGGTTAAAGTTTGACAAGAATCAATACATTTTTATGCATTTAATCTACTGATTTATGTATATAACTTCTCAAGACAGTTTGCAGTGAGTTATCTTGTAAATATTTTACAAGAGGAAAAATATCGAGGTATATGTCGTATATCGGAATTCAGCTAAAAGATATCGAGATATAAGTTTTGGTCCATATCGCCCAGCCCTAGCTGGGCTAGTTTACATCTTTTGACAATTTCAGATTTTTAGTGATTACCTTGCAAGACATATATTTTGATCACCATTATGCGCTGTTTTCAAATAAGTTTTTTGATTATGTAAAGCTTAAAGTTGTCACAACGTGCCGGTGAGTGAGACGGAGGTGAGGATCCAAGTGCAGGGGAAGAAACAGGCAGGGAGGCAGACAGGGTCATTCCAAACACTGATTTAATGGAGGACACGCAGGACAATGAAACAATGAGCCAACCAGACAAAATGGACTAACAGGGTTTAAATACAGGAGGAGCTGGGACCTTGGGCGATTGGGAGACGAGAGGCAGGTGGGAGCAATTAACATGGACACAGGACTGAACAGAATGGGGAGACAGGACAGGGTGTGACAGTCCCCCCCCCCCCCCCCCAAAGGGCGGATTCCAGACGCCCACTGGAACACAGAGCAGGGCGGCAGCGGCGGCCTCTGGGCCGGAGGTGTCGTCGTCGGCCTCTGGGCCGGAGGTGGCGGCGTCTGCCTCTGGGCCGGAGACGGCGGTGTCGACAACTGGGCCGGAGACGGCGGCGTCGACCACTGGGCCGGAAATGGAGGCGGCAACCACTGGGCCGGAGGCGGCGTTGACCACTGGGCTGGAGACGGCGGCGTCGACCACTGGACTGGAGACGGCGGCGTCGACCACGGGACTGGAGACGGCGTCGACCACTGGACTGGAGACGGCGTCGACCCCTGGACTGAAGGGGACGTCGACCACTGGACTGGAGACGGCGTCGACCACGGGACTGGAGACGGCGTCGACCACTGGACTGGAGACGGCGTCGACCACTGGACTGGAGACGGCGTCGACCACTGGACTGGAGACGGCGTCGACCACTGGACTGGAGACGGCGTCGACCCCTGGACTGAAGGGGACGTCAACAACTGGACTGGAGACGGCGTCGACCACGGGACTGGAGACGGCGTCGACCACGGGACTGGAGACGGCGTCGACCACTGGACTGGAGACGGCATCGACCAATGGACTGGAGACGGCATCGACCAATGGACTGGAGACGGCGTCGACCACGGGACTGGAGACGGCGTCGACCCCTGGACTGGAGGGGACGTCGACCTCGGACTAGAGGGGACGCCGACCCCTGAACTGGAGGGGACGTCGACCTCTGAACTGGAGGGGACGTCGACCTCTGAAATGGAGGGGACGTCGACCTCTGAACTGGAAGGGAGCGTCGACCTCTGGACACAAGGG